ATTTCTTTAGGAAAGAACCACGGTGCATTGTGAGACTCAATGATATGGTAATTTTAAATGACTTTCGTCAAACTTCCAACCTGAATAGAGACTGTTTTTTGGTCTGCACTGAATGCAGTCATATTCCTAACCACAGAGTAGGCCCTCACTGGGCATTAGCTCCTCTTGTACTCTCAGGAAAGATGCTGATCCAGTGCAAGTCACAGGGAATGACAATGCACAATGACAACAGTCCTACATCACAGAGTTTCTTTTTTTTTTAAGTAGATGAAAATGAAAAGCTATAAGCTTTCATTTCTAGGCCTATATTCATGAAGTATTTAAGACATTTCATATTTGAACCTAAAGTGAAATCTCCCCCAGATGAACTCTGTCTCTTATATGTATTTAGTGTCCCAATAGGTTTAGGGTTCTCCAAAATCTTTTTGGTCAGAATATCATAGATGACTTCACATAGATGTCCTCTTGACCAAGTATCTCTGAGAACGGCAGCTGGTATCACTCTAAATTAAGACTATCAGAACACTTTATCCTATTTTGTGACTCATTATGCTATTGACCTTTGACTCTAGAGAACGTCTTAGACAGAAATGGAGGAAATAGAAAACATGAGAAAGAATGAAGTAAACAAATGAAACAATAAATTAAAAATGGGAACATTGGAGATCTCAATAGCAGAGGAAAGTTGAATGTGACACATTTAAGCATCTGAAAAAATTGAGGCAAAAAAGGAACTGTTACTCTAGTAGATACTGTGTGTTAAGAAATGAAGAAAATGGCTGCTATTTTAGGATCCTTAGCTTAGTCATGCACCACATTCCCATAGTAGTATCTTTATGATATACAGACCTCAACAAGTGCTTTCTCTAAGTAGAAATTTTTTATATACTTGCTGGTTTGCAGTGCTTTCTTTCTGTAAAAATGTGCACTATGTTTGTGAGGCTTATTCTCTAGCAGTTGTAAAAGCAGAAAGTGATTGTCAAGAATGAGTGCTTCTATATATTGAGTGTAATTGCTTTTCAGAAACTATTTACTATAGTAATAAAAGGAGTCAGAGTAAAATACTTTGAGAGTCAAAAGGAAGCTAAGGGAAAAAGGAAAAAAAAGAGAGAAATCAAAATGAAAGCTTATGAGTAGTGCTACACTTTAATAGTGAGGTGAGGGCTAGAGCATAAACTAGAAGCGAATACTCTTAGAAAAAGTAAATGCTAGATAGCTGGGCCAGGTGCTCTGTCCTTATTGCCAGTTGACTGATATTACACAAGGGGATGACTGAGATACAGCAGGTGTCCTATTATGATTTGCTGATGCTTAATTCCGGTGTCAATTTCAGTGACTCTTGTCAGCAGATTGTTGTTCAAATCACACCTGAATGCTAGTGGGATTATGGGAGACCAAGAAAAGGAGTTGGGACAAGCGTGGAGTGTACAGTATGTAAATTTGTATGACTAGTGTATGAAAACATAAAGTTGTATTTTCATTAGTGATATTTAATGTTACGTCGGAGGGAAAAATTTAATTCAGAGCTGGAAAAAAAATCTTAATAGAAAAGAAGAGAGGGGAAAAATGAAAGTTTATGATAGTATAATTGTCAAAACATGGCTCAGACTGTTAACTATAGAATTGCCATTGTTTATGGTATTGGTTTTTCCCTGTATCAGCACATATAATATTGGTGGTTAGGGACTGCATAGATGATAGAAATGAGAGCGAGAAGACCGATTATTTCATGATGTTCGTTATTATGACACACCAGGACTGGTTGTCACAGTCTGTTTTCCAGTGCTCTATTCATTCCAACTTCAGATGACTCAAACCACTATTTATCTTGGGGGATTTTCCTGCTGCTGAAATCTTGCAGTAAAAATTTTTCTCTTTAATATTGGCTTTCAACTTTCTGTTGCTCATTTTCTCTCTTTACTTGTCATTCTTGTGATTTGGTTGTTTTGGTCTTCCATAAACGTTTCCAAATTTCATGTTTACTAGCAAGCCACCTGGCTCAGTCAGACCTTTGTGTGTTGATCAGAACAATAGCCGGTCAGAAGGCCAACATTATATTTGCTTTTAGTCTTCAGCATTAGAATTCTCATCTTACCTGCCTGAGAATGATTTCTCTAGAGCATATTTTTAGTTTTCTGAAAGTCAAATGGGATTACACATTGCTGACCAATCATGTCAAAAACAGGGAACTTCAAATACTATGACAAAGAAAATCCCACAAGTATTTGTTTATTTGTTCAGCACATAAAAGCAGTCTTAAGGAGATTCTGCTTTACATCACTCTCTCCCATTTCCCCTGTAGTTTCCCACCATTCCTCCTTCATCTTGACCTGATCATTTATTTTCAGTGACAAGCACCTGCCTAGTAAACCTTGAGAAAGTATCAGCATGCCCAACAGCAGTCCCATCACCCCACACACCGGAGGCTGAATATGGACTCCTGCAGGTCCTCGGATGGGTGTGGCCGTTGCCTGATGTTTCCAGGTCACTTGGTGATTTCATGCTCAGGAACCTGGGGGACAACACTCTATGATCAGATGCTCTTTAAGTATTACCTTACCATTGCTTTGTGGTGGCATATATTTTATTTTATTTTATATTTTTTAAATTGGCATATATTTTAAATGAAATATATTTTTAGAAGGCACAGCAATTTCCAAAAGCGAAGGATAATTAAGTTACCACACCAGCCTTTTGTTTTTGGGCTCACAGATGTGCTAACTGAGAAGTGTAGCCAGGAAGAACATTTGTGTATTTTGATTAATTGAGATTTAACTTAAGGCATAGTTTTGCTCAAGCTGAAGGATCATTTTTTGTTTGTTTGTTTGAGTGAAAATCTCTGGCTAGCATAAAAAATTGGCTAAGTCAAGACTCTCAAATTATCTCTGGTTAAGCAGCAGGTTTTTTTTTTTGTATTAAATTCTTTTATTGGTACATTATAGGTATACAGCACAATTACATTTCTCATTGGAAACTTGTACCTTTACATGATGCATCTTGGTTCTTATTTTTTCCCCACTCCTAGCCCTCCCTTCACCACCTCCATCCTTCCCTATTTACAAAGACTTTATTTCCATTTTTTTCCATTTCTCATCATTTTTCCTTTCCCTTCTTTCCTTTCCCCTGCCCCTCCCACTACCCCTACCCCTTTGGACCTTTTCTTCCTATTTTACATTATTGATTATTCATTCTAATCATTGATACATTTTAGGTATACAATATAATGACATTCATCATTGGAAATTTGCACCTTTACATAGTCTCTCTTGGTTCTTATTTTTTCACCCTTGCCCAGCCCTCCCTTCAACCCTTCCATTCCTCCCTATTTACAAAGATTTTGTTCCTATTTTTCCATTTTCTCATATTAATCCCATTTCCTTCTATCCTTTCCCTTAGCCCTCCCACTTCTTTCCCCTTTGCCCCTTTTCTTCCTATTTCACATTACCTACTATACATTTAGTCCTTATGTACACTTTCATTTTCTCACACCAGAGAAACTATTCGGTATTTACACATGTGTGTCCTATTTATTTCACTTAAGAGTATCGCCTCAATGTGCATCCACTTAGCTATAAATGTCTCTAATTTCTCATTTTTGATGGCTGAGTAGTACTCCATTTCATTAAAAAACCACATTTTCTTTATCCAGTCTCCAGTTGATGGGCATTTGGGCTGTTTCCAAGTTTTAGCTATTACAAACTGTGCTGCTGTGAACATGGGTGCACATATATCACTGTGGTATGATTCTTTTAATTCTTTGGGGAAGATCCCCAGCAGTGGAATAGCGGGGGCAAATGGGACTTCCACTCCTAGTTCTTTGAGGTGTCTCCATACTGATTTCCACAGTGGTTGCACCAGTCTACACTCCCACCAGCAGTGGAGCAGGGTTCCTCTTTCCCCATAGCCCTGCCAGCATTTGTTATTGGTTGATTTCATGATAGCAGCCATTCTTTCTGGAGTGAAGTGGAATCTCAGCGTTGTTTTCATTTGCATCTCTCGAATGACCAGTGATGTTGAACATTTTTTCATGTATTTATTTGCTATTTCTACTTCTTTGTGTGAGAAATGTCTGTTCATTTCAGATGCCCATTTTTGGGTTGGGTCTTTAAATTTGGGAGGTCTGATCTTTTTAAGTTCTTTATAGATTTGAGATAGTAGACCTTTGTCTGAGGAAGAGCAAGTGAAGATTTTTTCCCACATTGTGTGCTGTCTCTTCACACGGCTGGTGGTTTCTCTTGAACAGCAGGTTTTTTTTGATTCTGTTTAATTTCTAATCTGTCACAGATGAATACTTTTATAAAATATATTAAAAATTAAATACTGCAAGACAAATAAAAATTGAAGGTATGCAAGATTTTATTAGATTTAAAAGACATGCAAATACAGTCAGACTGACCTACAAGTTTCTAAAAGTTTCTCTGCATTTTTGTATTGACCTCATTGGGGACCATGGATAAAAAGGCTCTGAACTGTTTTGCATCCCAGAGAACACACTTTGAGTAACACTCCTGTATAGTAGTGCTACTCTGAGTTGCACTCATAGGAAGTTAATCAAATATTTGTGACAATCAAATACAGAAAAATGTAATGATTTTACTTATATCCTTTAAGAAAAATAATTTCATTCTAGCAATTTCTTCCAAGGTAGGTTTAAAGTAAAATGCTAATAAATTCAATTATCAGTAGGCCCTGTTTGTTTTTAAGCTGTACTTTTACAAAAGAGTCAACTATTAATTGCTTTGTTATATATTTTTTTTTTATGCCAAAGAAGAATATACTTTACATAGATTGCCTGTTTAGGCAGAAGCAGTCCATTGGATGAGAGCCTGGATAAGCTCATTTTTCAAGCATTATTATGGTACTTTACCAGGCAAATCAGTGTCACATTCCTGCATGATGAAACTCAGCCCATTATTAATCATCTTCAGTGTGACTTGGGGTCTCGTTCTCTTCTGAATGTTTTCAGTAGAATACTATAGGTTTCTGCTGTTTTCTTTCAGCGCATTCAAGGTCGAAAAGCCAGCCTGGAGGAAATACAGCTTGTTCATTCTGAACATCACTCACTATTGTATGGCACCAGCCCCCTGGACGGACAGAAGCTGGACCCCAGGATCTTCCTAGGTCTGTATGGGCCTCCTTTCTCCTGAGAACAGCACATTCCAGCACTATCATTAGTCAATGCTGGTGTCAATTCAAAATACTTGGCAAGCAAGTGTGACAAAAAAAAATTACTTTTTCCAACATTGCTTTGTGAAGTGAGTCCTGTATAAGAGAAGCCAAAGTAGATTAAGATCTTGCATTAGAAAAGACAATGTCTATTGCATGATGTTTACTTTAAAGCGAACCTTTATTTAAATGCCATTTGTATGGTGTATTTTTACATATGGGGTTATATGGATTGACAAATTTGCTTATACTTTTAAATTAAAAGACAGATCTTTTTCCATGTATGTAATTTCTCTACTTTTCCCATTTGTTTTTTTGTCATTCAGTTCTTTTTTTCTATGACTGTAACACACTTAGATAAAAATATGCCTTATTTTAAGTGAAAACTCAGTACATGCTTAGTATACTACATTTTAAGGTATAGTAAGACTGAATTTACTAATTTTATAGATGCCTTACTTGTGGAAAATATGTAGTGCAATAAATAGCATAAGTAGAAAACTGATAAACATGTTGCATTGCCAATGTATGTTTTTTTTCAAAACCTTAAATCAGATTTTAAAATAAAGTTAGATGTGGTGGCGCACTTCTATAATTCTACCACTAGAGAGGCTGAGGCAGGAGGATTGCCTGTCATGAGTTTGAGGCCAGCCTGGACTACATAATGAGTTCAAGATCAGCCAGAACACACATTACCACACGTCTCAAGAAAAAAAAATTAAGTTGCAGAACTTTATATAAGCTTTATATGAATGCTAGAAATAACAGATTTATGGAAAAAGTAGTGAAAAACATTGATTGAAATATTTATTTACTTATTTATTTAATGATATTGGTGATTGAACTCAGGGTCTTTGCACTCAGCTATATCCCTTCTTATTTTTTTAAAGCATGGTTTCATTAAGTTACTAAGTTGTTTAGGCTGGGCTCAAATCTTCCTGCCTCAGGAAGTTTTGGTATTAGAGGCAAACAATTATATTATATCTATAAATTTTTATAATTTAATAATATATAATATAATATATATCACAGCAATACTACTGAGTTACATGTGAAGTGTTTTAACTACAAAAGACATGTTAGGACTTTTTCTCGTCCCTGTTTTTCAAACAAACCTGTTAAGTCAGTTCCAAATTATCAAACTCTGTCACTTAATTCAGTATTATTTCAAAATAGTTGATGTTAACCAGCCCTAAAAAATTTGAGAGCCAGCATATGACATGTAATAAGTAAGGATCTTGGAAAGAAATTATAAGGGGAAATTAAAAATGACCTATTCTAACACTCACAATATGCTCTTTTTAAATGAAGACAAGCATCCATAAATACCTGAAACAAGGCACATGGGTGAGCTTGTGTGCCTGCCTGCCAGCATGTGATCCGAATAGGTAAAGATGGCTTGGGGTAAAATTAGGTAGAAAAGGGTACACATAAACGTTACTCAGACAGAATGTTGCTGGTGTTTGACGGTGAAAAAACGATTTATGAAGCAGAATTAAAGCTATACTATAAATACAAATAAATTGATCTAAACTTCTATGCTGTAGATTTTTGTTTTTTGTCCTTTTGAGGGAACAAACATGGGTAGTGACCCATGCCAGCTTCCCCCACACAGATGTGAGGTATCACTTCTGAGTTAAACTGATGCTACTGTGGACAGTAAAGTTGTAGAGTTAAGAGGAGGAGTTTAAATAAAAGTTTAGTATGACCGGATCTATCAGTCTTTGTATCTTGAAAGATATCTACAGATTATAAAATAATTAGATTTGAAAATGAGCACCATTTATCTCTTTAAATACTTTAAATGCTGTAAGATGACACTTTCATAATATTATCTCCAATCTGTCTGGTACAAGGTTTTCCTTTGCATTAATATTCCTGTCATTCGTCTTATTAGTTTCCATTACCTTGTGGCTAGCCAGATTCCTGTCCATTGATAAAGAAAATAATGTTATGAAAACCAAATCCAGTCATGCTATGGATTAAACATTTCTCGCACATTAATACATTTAAATGATCAATTATTTGCCTATTTTGTATTATGTAAATACTACTAAATAAAATTATCCATTAGAGACATATATTTATTTTCCTTCTTCTCTTAGGGTTTAATATTTTAAGTTACTTTTTAAACATTATTTCATTACAGTGTAACATTATCTTTATGCCTTTTTTTGATCATGAATAGTTTAGTTATTATAATATATATGTATAGTTTAATTCAAGGGTAATATGTGGATCCACTCTTGCAAAATGTTCAGAGATACATTAATATTCCTGTTAAGAGTAACAACATAAGAAAACTTTACCTTTCTATGTGCTCTCCAGAAATTTTTTGGAGTGTCCTTACTGGTGCTAGTATTCCACTTTTAATATCATGCCTTAATGTGTTTATTTTGTTGTTGTTGTTGACTTCTTACCTTTGTCCTTGATTGGTTTGCAGTACTGAAGATTGAACTTAGGGCCTCATGCATGCTAGGCAAATAGGCTACCACTGGGTTATACCTGTTCTTTCTAGTTAACTTTGTTCTATTTATCTGTTTTCTTTCTATTTAACTATGTGTCTTCATTTGTGCTTGCATTTCTCTTAATCACTTCCTGTTAGTAATTGCATTTGAAAAATCAACTCATACACTTTATTGTTTGCAAAATAAACTTTCTTCATGACAGTACAATCTATTTGAACTTTACTAACATAGCATGTGAATTCTGCCACAAATGTGTTTTCAATTTGATTTATTTCATTTATCATCAATAAGACAAATGAATGGGACAGGTGAGTTATAGGAATCATTTGACTAAAGGTAGAAATAATCACTGCCTTTACCTTTAATTAATACAGAGACAGATTTTCGTGCTAGAGGTTTGGGGAGCATTTATTTGTTTTTCTCTATTCATGAAGTAGATAATGTAGACATTAAGGTGCAGGTAAACAAAATGATTGCTGAAAATCCCATTAAATATCACTCCTGAGAGAACCACAACTAAGATTTTGGCATATATTTTCAGAGAAGATATTTTTATATTTAACATATGGATCTCCAAGAAGGGTTATTCTTGTTATTTAAAAAATTGTGGATGTTGGTGAAGCTTATGGTATACTTTAGCTATATCTTATCTAGATTCAGCTACTTCTAGCTGAATATGTTATCTATTTCTGAAGTAAAAATTAAGGATAATTTTGTATATCTGAGAGAAAATTTTAGTATTTGAAATATTTTTAAGATGATAATGTGCAGTTTCATAAGCTTAGTGGCTCAAAGCATCACATTGGAGGAATACATTTAGTGAAGAACTGAGTTACTTAACATAAATTACAATTTAAATATATCTCTATCTATCTATCTATCTATCTATCTATCTATCTATCTATCTTTTACCCAATTTAATTTCATGGGCATTTATTTGTTCATGTGGAGTGATAGATTCTACATTTAATATTATTTACATTCATTTGCTTTTAGTTCTTACCTGCACATACATATAGATAGAACAAGGTATTTTGAAAATTGAGTCGTTGAATTTATCTACAATTTCACTGATTTCTTTCTGAGTTCAGTGATAAATACTATGTATAATCTTATATGTGAGTAAACAACTTTTATAAAGTTGTATACTCATAATTTATATATTTTCATGTTTTCTTACTGTACAGGTGATGACTCTCAAAAGTTTTTTTCCTCATTACCTTGTGGTGGACTTGGGGTAAGTATGAGCTTGTTTACTGCTTTTAAAGAACACAAACTTACATGGAAAACTCCTCTGATCTATCTATTCAGTTATGTTTAAGACTGTTTAAGGTTATATTAGACTTCAGAACTGGCTGTATAATCTGAGGAGCTAATTGCCAAAATACAGAGCCCCTTGTTCAAAAATTAGGAATTTCTAGATGATGGCAACATAGAGCTAAACCGAGAGCCCTTCAAACTGTGAGTTCCATGTAACAGGTTATGCGCTCATGAAGCCCCCTTTGCTCATCCTTTCTATAGCTTGAGAAAAGTTAATACAAGACATTTTAACACAGTTTTGCAAGAAAATTCTCTTTCAATAGTCTCATTCCAGCTATGCACATTCTATTCCTGGTGAAAATAGCATAAGCTTCACAAAATGCTTTGCATTATGGGACATTTTGTTTGTGAATCCCTTGAGGCCATTTTTGTCTTCAATAATTAACAAAGCCTTTTGACCCAGGATATTTATACCACATTTCAAGGACAAATTTGTTCGAATTCAGCAACATATGAAGTAAACTGTCTACATTTTTGTGGATGATTAGAACAAACCCTATGACCTGCAATCTATTTAAAGTTAACCCTTACCAGTGACAAAGCATTATTCTGCAGAACTAAGTGCTAAATCATGTTAAGACAACGTAATTCTAGGGCAGGTATCCAAGGGCTAAAATGTTAAATTAAATGTAGCTTAGATCTTGAATGGAGAGAAGAAACCTAGTTATGAATATATCATGTTTGAGACAATTCTTTGCTATAATTGTACTTTATTCAGGGAAATCTCACTTATTTTCTTTTCATTCTATCATTTTAATGATGCCAGGTTTATTAGGGGACATCTTTCTTTTTTTCCCATTGTGATCCTTTCTCCTCTTGGAATAAGAATGACAAGTTCAATCAATATCCATTTGGAGTTTACAGCTTATCAATACACAGCAGAGTTTTATGAAACAGATAAACCAATGTAGCTGAGAAACTGAATGCCGAGAGAAGTGAAATTATTTTCTTGAAGTCACACAGTAAAGGGAAAAAGGCTGGGCTTGGTGTGCATATTTATGTGAAGACATTCCAAAAGAGCTCCTGAGGTTCTTCCATGGCTTTCATCTTTACCAGGCTGCGGTGTGGCTGAGCTAGGCTATCCTCCTTTGTGGCAGCTCAGGGTGACTTTTGCTTTTTGATCCCTGACACAGAACAGTTGAACTCCACGTTCATCCTTGCTTATTTTAGCAGCCCACCCCCAACCCCATTGAGCAGGGAGTTTACAAAAATTATTCTGAAAAGCAGAGGATAAGCTGACTTTTAAAGTGGGTTTTATTGGCTTTTGTGCTTATTTTCTAACATCTGAAGTGGCTATTTTAAGACAATGGCTGCTTACGTGCAAATGAGGTAAAGAATAAAAAGCTAATGACCACTGCATGGAAACTAAACGGGAGGAGGCCAGAGCTGCTTAGAGAGTGGTGGGCATCAAACCCCACTCATTTACAAGGACATTTAATTCATTCCCCAGAGCAGAACTGAGAACAACTTGCTAGGACTCATCTCCCACAGCTGACCTGGGATGTGCCTGTGACTCACTATCCCTTGAACACAAATTTTCTCTACTCTAATGGTCTAACCTCATACCAAAGGGACTTCTTATTCTTCAGCCAGAATAACACCAGTAAATCCCAGCACTCTGAGAGGCTGAGACAGGAGGAATCCAAGTTTGAGCCCAGCCTGGACAATTTAAGGAGACCCCATCTCAAAATTAAAAAGAAAATTTAAAAGTCTGGGGATATCGCGTGGTGTAAAGGCCCTGGATTCATCCTCAGTACTACCAAAGGAAAAAAATTGCCCCCAAAATGAACAGTGCCTGCTGTCTTTGGTGTGTGCATATATTATGCTACAAGTTGGGGGTGTGTCATAGAATAAGTCCTTAAGAGACTGCCCCAGTTTGGATGGCTGCAGCAGTGGTGGTGAGTAAAACTTGGGCGAGCAGAGGTAGTAGGATGTGGCCTGAATCAGATTGGTTCCATCAGTGCTGGGGAAGGCTGCCGAGAGACACTGTGCTTATGAAATTGGCCCATATGTCTTCTGGGGGCACTTATGTAGGTCTAGTTAAGTGTGTGTGTGTGTGTGTGTGTGTGTGCGCGCGTGTGTGTGTGTTTGTGCATGTGTCTGTGCATACATACACACAAGTTCACACTTGCTGGTTCTCTGGCAAGCTAGATTGATTCAATCATTTTATCTGCTTCTGTGATTTTAGTTTTTTGTGTTTAGGGACCAAATCATGTTCTTAGGCATTTAAGGAGTCATCTTGCTCTCTTAGATCTTTGGTTTTGATGCAGGTCCTAGGAGAAACTCTGTGTCCTCTGGATTTGAATCAGTCCAAATTTTTACCTTAAGGGCAATCCCAGACATTTACTATACAAAAGATACCGAGTAAGAACTTGGAGTGGCCCCATTTAGCGTTGTGGGGGAACCCTGGAGAGCTTGGAAACTACTGAAATTGCTCTTGTCTTTAGAAACTCTTCTAATTCTTATCTGATTATTTGAAATAGACCCATTGGTTTCAATTCCAAAATACTCAATGATTTCCAATTGCTAAAGTAAATTCTAGTTACATAGAGTATATAACTACATTCTAGCCGGGTTTAATGTATAACTACTGAACGCCAATAGATTAATTGGCTTTTGAGGACAATACCTTGGACATTATAAAATCAGAAAGCATTTAATTATTAAATTTGCCCTTAAAATTGGTTGAGTAATTGGAATGTTGATCAAATAGCTCAGTGGGTGAATAGTATTTAAGGTGCTTTAAAATGTGCCCCCCCAGTCTTACATTTTTGAACAACAATCTAAGATTTCCAAATTCCTTTGTGTTTGCATCTCATTTTATTTAGTTGCTATGGCATGACTCATTTTCAGTTATGATGCAATTGCACAAGCAAATGCACCAGTTGAAAAGACCATTTTAACAAATCCCAGGACTCACTCATTGTCTGGTGAAATAGGTAATGAAGGGACTCTGGAAACAAAAGCCAGGGCAAGACCACACTAATTCCCACTCCTCAGGGTCCATCACTAACAAGAGTGATCGCTTTCCTGGCCATCTGACCTGCTGCTGTGTGAAGAAATCTTGAAGTCATTTCTCAGCCTTATTTTCCCCTCTTCACTTGAGAAGCCACAAAAAACCCCCACAAAAGCAAGGACGAGCAGGCTTTTATGATAATGTCGTCATCAGCTCCCAGCTTCAAACACTTCTGCGGCTTTTGAGTTGTCATTTATAACTTGGAACTGAATCGACCCATAATTCCCCTGATACACTTAGAGAAATTGATAACAGACTCTGCACTTCTTTTATGGCTCGGAGGAGGCAACTCCAATCACATCACTATTGGCAGGCAATATTATTTTTTGACATGGTTGTAAAAGTATAAAAGGGCTTATGGCATTTGTTTAGATGAGGAATGGGCTCTCAAGCTGTGTTGGGGTTTACAGGACCAGATTAGTGAGAAGCAAAGGGAATATGATGTTTGCAAACAGGATATGATTTTATATAAGTTTGGGTTTCATGCTCTGTTCCCTGGGGAGAGCCCTGCAGACAGCCGAGAATTCCACTTTTATCCTCCAACAGACAAGCTCCCAGTGCCAAAAGGCAGAAAAATAAACGTGGTCCATGGCCAGTGTCAGACCCTTGATTGGAAGGGGAGGAGCTGGGAAGAGGCAGAACAGCTTTCCTGAAGGAATGAGGAGTTGCAGAGCAGGGGCATTATCAGGGCCTGCCGAACTGGTCCAAGATGCGCCAAAGTGCAGCTCTGTGAGGCTTCGCTGCTGCACCTTCTCTAGCAGCAACTCGCGCAGTCTGGGAACACAAGGCCAACTTTTTAGTACAAACTTTTCCTTTGTCCATATTCTATAGGATTACACTTAGATTTGACACACTATGAGGATTAAGGGGGTCATTTGTGATTTGGGGGAGGAGATGGGGAGGAGTAGGTGATTGTTGGGAGGTTGTAATTTAAGGGTCATCCTAATTATTGTGAGGTTTTCCGCAGATGTTGTAGTTCTATGGTAACGATGCTCATTTATACAGGGGCAGATTTGGGAGAAATGTCTTAAATACTCTTTCATCCAATCAGAATTAACAGGTGAGCTATTCCCTCTGATACATAAATTTACACAGGTATATCATAAATATATATACATATATACACATATATATGTATATCATAAATATATATACATATATACACATATATGTGTATATATGAAAATCCTGTTATTTTACAGCACATTTATACCTTCATATTGTTTTTTTTTCTCTTTACGATACCATATTCGTCCTCCACAGTTACTCTCTCCAATAACAGCACACAGGGTTTTATGGCAAGACATTTAAAGGGCTACTCTGATGTTTCTTTTTTGTTATAATACTAGAGAATAATTTGTATGACTAAATCTGGGGACCTGTAGTTAAATTTAATGCAATAGAGAAGTATTTTACTGTTGTTATTTAGGATGCTCTTCTTTGAAACAACACTAGTATTTTAGAAGGTATGCATCAAATGAGGAGCGAAGGGGCAGGAAAAGTAAGATAAGGTTTGCTGCCAGTGAATAGGCAAATGGCAGGGATGCAAAGACTAATGAGACAAAATCACAGTGCTTAGTTGCTCAGGGCCTACCCATTAGGCTGATTTAGATAAATGTCCTATGGGAGCACAGAGGAGGGGCTTCCAGGACAGAAAAGGAAGAACACTTAATAATGAACGTGTTTGTGACTTGTGTATGGGGGTTGGTTGTGGATGTAGAGCAGGAAAAAGCAGCCAGGTGTTAACTGTTTAAGCATAATGACACACCACTGACAACTGCACCGAGCTGTTCCCAACTCCTTCCTTCAAAGAAAGACTTAGTGTCTGTGCCCAGACTTTGGGTGTTCCTGAGGTTTTGATATTGACTCAGGAAACTAATTATAACTCTATTTTGTAGAGA